AAATCTGTACAGTAATTTTGGGAGTTTGGCCATCTTCACAATGTTGGTTCTTCCTATCCAGGAACAGAGAATATCATTCCATTTTCTGAAATCCTTTAAGTTCACTTCTTTCAGAGCACTGTAATTTTCCATGAAATGATCTTAGACCTCTTTAGTTAGATGAATTCCAAGGTATTTCATTTTTTTTTGCAGTGCTATTGTAAAAGGTATTGTTTCTCTAATTTCCCTCTCAGTGTGTTTGTTATCTGTGTAGAGGAACGTTATTGATTTTTGGTTAGTGACTTTGTATCCTGCTATGCTACTGAATTTGTGTATCAATTCTAGTAGCTTCTTGATATAGTTTCTTGGTTCTTCCAAGAAAAGTATCATGTCATCTGCAAATAATGATAATTTAACTTCTTTCTTACCTATTCTTATTCCTTTTACTTCTCCCTCTTTTCTAATGTCTCTAGCTAAAGATTCCAGAACTATGTTGAATAGTAGGGGTGATAGAGGAATCCTTGTCTTATACCAGATCTAAGAGTAAAAGTTTTCAGGTTTTCCGCATTTAGAATTATATTAGCCATTGAGTTGTCATAGATGGCTTTTGTCAGATTGAAGTAGAGGCCATATATTCCAAATTTCTGTAGGACTTTGAACATGAATGAGTGTTAGACTTTGTCCTAAGCGTTTTCTGCATCAATTGAGATGATCATGTGGTTTTCAGATTTCTTTCTATTGATACGGTGTATTACATTTACATATTTTTGAATATTGTTCCATCCATACATCCCTGGGATGAATCCTACCTAGTCGTTGTGTATAATCTTCTTAATCATTTGCTGTATTGTATTTGCTAGGATTTTATTGAGGAATTTTGCATTTATGTTCATGAGCGAAATTGGCCAGTAGTTCTCTTTTTTTTGTTGTGTATTTCCCTGGATTTGGTACCAGTATAATACTTATCTTCAGGAATAATTTTGGATAAATGTTTCCTTTTCAATTTCATTGAAGAGTTTGATATGTATAGTGACTATATCTTCTGTAAATTTCATGTAGAATTCAGCTGTGAATCCATCAGGAGCTGAACTTTTCTTTGTCAGCAAGATTTTTACTACATTTCATATTTCATTTCCTGCTATTGTGTTGTTAATAGTTGTTTTATTTTCTTTATTCAGTTTTGGTAACTTGTACATTTCTAGGAATCTATCCATTTCATCTGTGTCTTCTATTCTGTGAGCATAAAAAACCTCAAAGTAGGTATTGATAATCTACTGAATTTCCACTGAGTCTGTGGTGGTTACACACTTTTCATTCCTTATTGCTTCTAGTTGAATTTTTTCTTTCTTGTTTTTGATGTGGTTAGCTAGAGGCTTATCCATTTTATTTAATCTTTCAAAGAACCAGCTTTTTGATTTGTTAATTCTTTGAACTGTTCTCTTCATCTCACTTGAATTAGTTTCTGATCTAATCTTTATGATTTTTTCCCATCTTTGGGCTCTGACTTTGGTTTGCTCTTCCTTTTCCAGATGTCAGAGGTGCAGCATTAGGGTGTTTATTTGTTCCATTACTATTTTCCTAATATGTGAGTTCATGGCCATAAATTTCCCTCTGAGAAGTGCTTTCATTGCATCCCATGGATTCCAATACATTGTGTTTCAATTTTCATGAATTGTAGATATTGTTGAATTTCTTGTTTAATTTTATTTGTGACCCATTGATTTATGAGAAGGATGTTGTTTAATTTCCATGTATTCATTGGGTTTTTCTGGTTTCTTTTGTTGTTTATTTCCAGTTTCATTACACTGTGGTCAGATAATATGTATGCGATAATTTCTGCTGCCTTGCATATACTTAAACATGACCTATGGATTAGTATGTGGTCTACTTTAGAAAACGACCCATGTGCAGCTGAAAAGAATGTGCTGTGGTTGGATGGAACACTCTGTATATGTCCACCAAGTCCATTTGTTTCAAGCTCTGCTTCATTGCTGCTACTTCTTTGCTAATTTTTTGTCTGGTTGAACTATTTTTTTGAGAGAAGGGGGTGTTAAGGTCTCCTGTTAAGAATGTAGTATTGAATAATAGATTTTTCATCTGCATTAAGTTTTGTCTTATATAGTTTGGTGTTCCTGCGTTTAATGCATAGATAGTCACAAGTGTTTCCTCTTCCTCTTGAATTTTTCCCCCTAATCCGTATTTAGTGGCCATCTTTATTTCATTTGATCATCTTGTTTGGAAGTTGAGACTGTCTGCAAACAGGATTGCTCACCCTGCTTTTTTCCTGAGGTGCTGGGGCATGTAGTATTGCTTTCCATCCTTTGATTTTCAGCTTTTGAATTTCCTTGTGAGTTAAATGTTTTTCTTGTATACAACATATTGTTGGATTTTGTTTCCTAATCCACTGTGCCAGTCTATTTCTAGTAATTGGTGAATTGAGTCCATTTACATTGATGGCTGTAATTGAGATGTGTTGACTTACAACTGACATGTTATTTACCTAATGCTGTTTACTCATTTTTCTCCTGTATTTAATTGTTTGCCCTAATTAGTGGGTTCTTCCTGTTCTTATTCGTGGAGTTCTGATCATTTTGGTCCCTCTGTAGAACATCTTTCATGAGTCTGTGTAGGCTTGGCTTTGTCATCATGAAATTCTTTAGTTGTTCTTTTTCATGGAAGTATATCACTTCTCCATCAAACTTCAATAAGAGTTTTGCAGTGTATAGTAGTCTAGGCTGGAATTTGTTTTCATAGAAGACTTGAAGTACTCTGCTCCATGCTATTCTTGTTTTCATGGTTTGTGAAGAGAAGTCTGTCAATGTTCTGATGGATTTTCCTTTGAATATGATTTGATTCTTTTCTCTAGTGGCTTTCAGTATATTATTCTTGTGCTGGATTTCTGGAATTTTGACTGTTACATTCCTCACTGTGTTTTAAATTGGGTTGAAGTTATTTGGCATTTTGTATGCTTTGATTATCTGAATGTCAGATTGTTTCCACATATTTGGGATGATTTCTGCTATTACTTCTGCCCATGTTCTTTTTAGATCATTTGTATTGACTCCTTCTTTCTCATTGATGGTATTAGTCTCACATTGCTCATCTTTGCATCGTCTTGCAAGTGATGAATTTTTTTCCCTGCATTCTAGTTGTTTTTAAGGGATCTTCTTTTACCGTTTAATTATCTACCCTAACATCTTCAAGTTCTGAAACTCTGTCTTGACATTCATTCAAATGGTTTTGCAAGCTTGTGATTGAGGTTTTAAGTTCCTCTATATCTCTTTGACTCTACTTCATGCGATCTATGTCTTTTCTGTACTGCTCATTTAAGGAACTCATCCTATATCCAATCTCCTGTATTTTTTTTATCAATGTGTTCTTTAGAAAAAGTTATTAATTCTTTTAGTGCAGAGTATTTTTTAGATTGGGTTCCCCCATATGTTTCTGCGCTTGATACTTTACTTCAGATGCTATGAATTCAGCGATTTCTTTTCTTATTTCAGAAATTAATTCTGCTCTGAGTTCCTATATACCTTTGTGCTGTTGTTTCTTTATTTCTGACCCTGTTAATTCATTCATTTCAGCTGAGCTCATGACCTCTGCACTTTTTCTGGGTTGGCTTAAGGCCTGAGATTGCATTTTACTCCTTCTCTTTGTCATTTCTTGTAGCACTGACCTCTGATCTTTGAGGCTTAGCACCTATCGAAATTCTGGTGCAAATCTATTAAGTTTGATTTTATCCTGTTACATCTATCTTGAGTCTAGCTGTTGTGTTCAGCTCCTTCATGTTGCAGCCATTGGAAGTGAACCTGCTGTGCCCTTCTGGAGAAACAGTGAACCTGTGGTACCACTCTGTTATGCCTCTGACCCAGGGAGCACAGGGGAGCACAGAAAGTCTTTCACACACTAGCTGGTCCTGGGCTTGTCTGTATCTGGGGGTCCCAAAAGAGTAGCAGAAATTCTCAATCACTTGGAGTGTTTGGGTGCAGGGGCTCCGGAGGAGTGGAGATGTCCTAAGGGCATAGCAGTGTGTCTCACTCATGCTGTGGGCCTGAATTTTGGTCTGGAGAGGTCCCACGGGCATAGGGAAGACAGAAGCTCTCTGACAAACTAGCAGTGCCTAGGTTGGGCTAGTTCTCACTTACTTTGCAGACTTCGGGGCATGACCTTCAGTGGCCCTTATGTTAGAGACTGGCCTAGGCTTGATCCGCAGAGATCCAGCCAGCACAGGGGATCAAAAGAGCTCACCTCAGCACTGCCGGACCTGAGCTTGAGCTGGATGGGAGAGGTGAAGGTTTCGAGAGTGTAAGAGATTGGGGAGAAAAGGATCCTGAGAATGCAGCAGAAGTGCTCAATTTAGAAGCTTTAGAAACTTAACTCAATTCATTCAGCATTCCACACTACAGGGTCACTCATCACCTTAAGTATATAAAAGGGAAATGAGGAAAGACAGACATTTCCACTTTATTGGGAAGAGCTCCACTCTTCACTTTCAGTTTTGATGTCATCTCCTGACTGCTAGGACAGAATTTTTAGGTTCAACCTTGGATCCTCCAGCCTTCCAGTGAAGACCAATGGGCTTTCTGTTGCAGACCTTTTGGTCTCCTTATACATACTCACATATAATATTGCTGTGAGCTCCAGACCTTGTCCACTGTGCAGATGCCATCTGCACGCTTCCTCTTCCTGAAGGGAAAAAAAGCATTAAATACATTAAATGATTCAGAAACAGTGGCATAGAGCAAGGAGTTTATTATCCTTTAAATATGAGAAAAAATACTGAGAAAGCCTAAAGAAATACAAAGTTGACAATATAATCATAACAACAATAAAATGAATTGTGGATTAAATAGAAAACAAAATATCCACAAAAAAAATCAACTTAAAGAGAAGAGGATGATAGTTCCTAGTGAACATCATGGTACTAGAAAAAGAAGTTGCATCACTTAGCTACAATAGGAGGCCCATACTAGACTGTAGTATCCGACTTTGCATAAGGTCCAGCTTTGAATTCAGGTCCTCTATGTATATGAGGAAGCATGTTCATGATAAGAAGAATTCTTTCTCACACAATGTGTTTTGTCCCTGATCCCAGTCACAAAATTTTTCTCTGGTTTTACCAATATAATGTAGCACTTGGGGGCAAAGATGCAGCTCAGCAGCCCTGCACTGGAGGCCAAGATGGAGAAGACCTCCATGGCCACCATGGCCTTCCCCTTGCTGCTGTGGTACATGGGCAGGAAGGTGACCCACACGCTGCAGAACACCAGCATGCTGAAGGTCAGGAGCTTGGCTTCATTGAAGGTGTCAGGCAGGTTCCTGGCCAGGAAAGCCACAGTGAAGCTCACCAGAGCCAGGGAGCCCAGGTATCCCAGGACACAGTAGAAGGCAGTGAGGGAGCCCTTGTTGCACACGATGATGATGTGGCCATGCTCAGAGTGCACATCTGTGTCAATGTAGGGTGGATTTGTCCCCATCCAGACTCCACAAAGAGTGAGCTGGATCAGGGTGCAGATGGGGATGATGGAGTTTGGAGCCCCTGAAACCAGCAACTGCCTCATTCTCCTGCGTGGAGCAGTGGCCTTAAAGGCTAGCACCACAGTAATGGTTTTTGCCAAGACAGTGGAAACAGCCACAGTGAACACAACTGCAAATGTGGTCTGTTGCAGGATGCAGGTGGCTGTGTTGGGGCGGCCGATGAAGAGCAAGGAGCAGAGGAAACAGCAGGTGAGGGAGATGAGCAAGGTGTAGCTGAGAGCCCTGTTGTTGGCCTTGATGATGGGAATGTCTCTGTGCTTCAGAAAGAACCCAAGAACAGCAGCTGTGAGAAGAGTGAGACTCAGTGCAGTGCCAGCCAGAGCCTTCCCCAGGGCGTCTTCATAAGCCAGAAAGGTCACATATTTTTGGACGCATTGATTTTTCTGAGCACTGGCATATTGATGATCAGGACACTTTCCACACTGCTCCATATCTAGGAAAAAGAATTTTTGCTTTCATACATGTAATATTTACTTTGCAAGCCTATTTCCAGAAACTCTTTGGACTTGCTTGAATTAAATTCTCAGTTTTTAGTGTCTCTTATACTTTTTTCTTTCTGTGTCTTTTAATTTATGTGAGATTGAACTTTAACTTTGGAGAGATATATTTCCAGCCCCTTTAAACCTTATTATTTTGTGAAAAGTTCTCCTTAAATCATTATGTTGTCACTGCTTAAAATCTTTTCCTCTCACCTTCCAGAACCCTGCATTCCAGGCAGGCCTTATGACACCTCACATATCCATGTTTTTCTAGACACAAATTAACAGAATAGTATCCAGAGATTAACACTTAAATAGCATTATTTCTTATTTTTTTCTTTAAATCTGGCATATCCATAAAACATTCTATTTTTACAAAGTAATGAAGGATCAACCTTTATTATTTACTTCATTTATTTAATCTATGTCAAATCTCTATTCATGCTTCCCCAGACATTTCAACGAACAACCTCATATTAAGAAGTCTGTATAATTTGCTAAGCGCAAAGGAGCTACATAGGAAGAAACATATTGAATGGAATGTGTTGTCACTGTTTAGGCTCTCCATCTTAGAAAGTGCTTTCTGCAACCATTTGCTTAATTTTTTATTGTCATAGCACTATTTCAATGGCTTGATTCTGGTATGTTTTAACACCATTACAGATTAATCATCACATATTTAATGATTTTTAAATGTTACAAAATCAGTATTTTATCAATGAAGCCTTATGATTGAGGTGAGGAAGCAAAGTTGTTTTTATGATCATCTCATATTCCATAAGCACTCATGTGTTCCCCATAATAAAATCCAGAATCATTTCATTCATTTTACATGATTGTCATACTTAAAAAATTAACATCACTGGAAAACCCTGTCAATCACGATGCTCCCTTTGGTTTTATGTGATTTCTTCATCGCATTGAACACGATGTGTAGGGTAATGTCTGATAGAAGTACGATGCAGAAAAATTTTCTCTCATTTTTGCTTTCAAAAATGGGCCACAACTTGTGCATTGTGCTACAGGTTACCATAAACACCGGGTTTTGATAAATTTAGATAATTTTCTCCCCCTCCTCGTGGCATAACAAGTGTCCTTATTGCTGTTTCTTTGCAAATTATAGATTTGTACAATTTTATTGTATCATTTCCATTTCTTAACTTTGTTTTTGCTTTTCCCCTGAGCTAATGCATTCAATTGTATTTTATAAACTGGGTTTTGGAACAGAACATGCGAATTTAGTTTAAAAAGCAAAGTTGACAGTGAACTTTGTTTTCTTCTAAGTGTATTTTCAGCTATTAGTAACCCAATTTAGTTCCTTTCTTAAAATGAATCGATTTTTTTCTCCTTTTCCTGTGTAAGAATGAATGATGTCAGTATTAATATGTTTTTGAATGCATATAAATTTCACTGATAATATATATGTATATTTTTTTGGCGGAACCTGGGATTGAACTCAGGTCCTTGTGCTTGCCAGGGAAGCACTTATTCTACTGATCCATCTCCCCGGGCCCCTTCTCTGATAATATTATCAATCAATAATTTGGAGTGAAACACTACACTGTGAGATGCCATCTATTAATAAACCTGGAACTCTAGAGATATTACTACTTTGAAGTTTTCAAATTTTTTTAAGGATTGTTTTGCCAAATTTTCCTGTGATTTTATAGATTTCAGAGCAAAGTTTGGTGTGTAATTGCTTATAATTTCATGTGAAAAGTTTCTGTGTAACTGTACTAATAGATAACTTTCCTTCATATTATACCAGCGTTCAATTTTTCTCTTCTCTGTCAATTGTATTGAGTCATCACAGTTTGTTACCAGAATCATATTTAACTCTATTTTTTCTCTGTCATAATTTTCTAAAAATGCCTTCCAGATCATATCTTGTCTTTTATTTTCTTTGTCCTCAACTTACTCTACTTTATTCCAGGGTGTGATGAATACCTCAGATGCAGAATTTGGCTTTTTGTCTATATACAACAGAGCAGAAATTCTGAGGGGACTTGACGGACCTTATCAGATACAAAAGTTACATTTCTTGTTATATAGGTCTTGCTTTATCTTGCGCTTAACCATCCAGCAGAAAAGTATGAAAACGAGGCATAAAAGGTAAAGCCATATTAATATACTGAGCTGTGAAAGGCTCAAGTCAACAACTTCGGACATTGCCAGTCCTACAGATAACCCACTACTATTATGGGCTACTGGACTATATTGGATTATTTTGCTGAGTTCACGTACCTACAATATTTAAATATCAATGGGATACCCATCTCTAACAAAACTAAACAAAAAAGGAAATACAAAGGAAGGATCACTTTGTATCTGTATATACAAAATAGTTAGTATAGATATACAGCTACTTTCTCTTAATTCAATGAGAACAAAGATTTGTACTAAGAGTATTTGGACAGCATATCATGTCTGCATCTTGTACTATGAATAACCAGTAAGATGATAACAATATACAGTGTAATCATTGGAACTGTCCTATTAGGCAGTTTTGAAACTGTCTCAATGCTATTTTTCCTCATTAAAATTAAGTAAAAATTTGAAAAACATATATGTAATCTTGAAAGCAACCCAAATACATATCAACCAAGAAATGCATAAAAATATGTGGTATTTTTACACTATGCACTATTACTTAGGTATAAAAAGAGAAAAAATCAAGGTTTTTATAGAAAAATGGATGTAACTAGAAACCATAACCATCACTGAAATAAATCAGACCCACATGTGCAAACATGGTATTATATCACTAGTGTAAAAACCTTACAGAATAAATTAAAATTGAAAGACAAAATACATATTGTGAAAGAGAAATAATCTGTACAAAGGGAATTCTTCCGAGAATTGAGTAGAGGAAAAGGCCAAAAGAAAGAAGGGAAACAGGTATATTTATGTATATTCACAAGATAGCTTGGATAATTGTGCCTCTGATTTCTGCTGGTCTAATGAAAAGCAGTGAATACTTTATTTTTTTTCTTCTCTATTTTATTTCTTATAGCTTTTTATCAATTTAGAATTTTATCTTTGGTAATCTAAAGACAACTAATTTGAAGATAACATTCTGAAGTACAACCATTATTGAATACCTATTATTCTATTTGATAAAAATTCTGTATCATTTCTTTTTTCTAATTTTATTTTATTTATTTTGAAAAGTAACAATAGATGCCGAAATAAATACAAAGAAGGGAGTGTGCGGAGAGTTTCCTGCTATCCTGAGCCGGCGGGACCAGTCCCAGCCCAGGCGCAGCATGGGCCGGACCCTCTCCCAGCCCCTCGGGCCACCCCCACCACTCCACAGTGCCTCCCCCAACCCGCCCGCCGAGTAGGATTTTCTGTCGAGTTCCGCGAGCCCCCAGACCCAGTCCTAGCCCAGGTCCGGTGAGTGTGCGGAGAGTTTCCTGCTACCCTGCGCCCGCGGGACCAGTCCTAGCCCAGGCGCAGCGTGGGCCAGACCCTCTCCCAGCCCCTCGGGCCGCCCCCCACCACTCCGCAGTGCCTCCCCCACCCTGCCCGCCAAGTACGATTTTATGCCGTGTTCCAGGAACCCCCAGACCCAGTCCTAGCCCAGGTCCGGTGAGTGTGCAGAGAGTTTCCTGCTACCCTGTGCCAGCGGGACCAGTCCCAGCCCAGGTGGAGCGTGGGCTGGACCCTCTCCCACACCCTCTGGCGGCCCCCCCCCCCTCCGCTGTACCTCCCCCATCCCTCCCGCTCAGTAGGAATTTCTGCCAACTTCCAGGAACCCCCAGACCCAGTCCTAGCCCTGGTCCGCAGCAGGAAGGAGCTGAGCACAGCAGCCAGACCTAAG